CCAGCCAGGCTGGGCAGCGGTGGGTAGTGCCATCCCGCTCTCTGCAGCCAGCAGCCCCTGCTCCTCACCAGCCTCATCCTCCCTGTCTTCCTCCCCTCCAGACACCCTCTACTTCTTCGGGGACAACAACCTCACCGAGTGGGGGCCCCTCTTCCAGCAGTATGTGCCTCCCCCCTTCCGCATCCCAGGCACCAGCCCAGCCTACAGCTTCGGGGTTGCAGGTGGGTGCGGGCTTGGCGCAGGGTAGGACTGGGGGGGTGTCTCCCCAGCACCGATCCCTCTCCCACTGTAGGCTCTGGCTCCGGAGTTCCCTTTCACTGGCATGGCCCCGGTTACTCCGAGGTGATCTTTGGCAGGAAGGTGAGAATTAAGCTCGGGAGGGGAGAGAAAAAAACAACAACGAAGGGTCATCCCTTGAGCATGGCAGGATGGGGAGCCCCCCTAGTGCTGAGCCTGAGGGGCTGGAGGGGAAATGGTGGTGGTGGGGGGTGTCCCTCGGTGTCTTCCAGCGCTGGTTTCTGTACCCGCCGGATAAAACACCCCACTTCCACCCCAATGAGACGACGTTGGCCTGGCTCCACCACACGTACCCCACGCTGCTGCCGGCCGAGCGACCGCTGGAGTGCACCATCCGTCCCGGGGAGGTGAGTCTGGCCAGCCCACCTCGCCCTGGGGCTCCACTCCCTTCAGGAGGGCGGCGGGGGCACACACGCCACCCACCCAGCACCCCGGGACTGCAGGGCATCGACCCAGGAGCCCACAGAACCCCCACCCCGGCTTTTCGCGGCAGGTCCTGTACTTCCCCGACCGCTGGTGGCACGCCACGCTCAACCTGGACACCAGCGTCTTCATCTCCACCTTCCTGGGGTAGAGCTGGGAAGGACGAGGACGTGCCATCATCCCGGCCACAGCGAGAGCGTGGCACAGCCGGCAGCTCCAGCTCCTGCTGCCGCCTGGGAAGGGCAGCGCCAGATTTGCCCACTCGAACTACTGGGGTCGGGACCAAGTGCCTGAAGATGTTCTGGGTTTTACTGGTGTTTTCCCTCCCCCTCAGATTAAAGCTGTTGTTCTGCCCTCACTCCTCACGTGTTGCTGCATCCCCTCCACCAGCGGAGCATGGGCAGGGGGGTGAGCTCCAGCCCCTGCGGCTCCTCCTGGCACAGCACCAGTTCCCAAGCCAGGACACGGCCTGCCTGGGGCAGCGATCGCAGTCCTGAACCACTCCTGCTCTTTTCGCCACATTTATTGCTGAATGTTTAGATCTTTTTAATAGGCATTTTTTTTAATTGATATTGGCAAACTTCCAGAGGGAGCTCAAAAGCCAGGCAGGCTGCCGGCCGACCAAAACGCTGGAGCTCCGGCCGCCGTGGATTTGTGGCTTTGGTTTGGTTGGTTGTTTTAAGGGATTTCAATAGAAGGAGGAACTTCAACCCTGGCGGTTGTTCACAGGGAACCATGGTCCTGGCAGGGGAGGGGAACACGCAGGCCAGCCCCTTCCAGCCCGGGGGACAGCTGTTTCCCCGGAAAAGCCGGAGGGCGAGTCAGTGTCCACAGCAGGATCGTTGCTCTCCCACCCCGGCAAGTGGCTATTTACAGGGATGAGGCAAACCCAAGCCTGGCCAGGCAGGAGATGGAAGGAGGAAGAAACAAGTATGTACAGGGGCAGAGGACCAGCACCAGGCGCCTGTCCCGGAAGCAGGACTATCTTTGGGGACAGTCGGCTGCCGCAGTGGGCTCCTGCTCTGCAGGCGATGAAGATGTTGGGGCAAGACCTTCCAGGCCCCCGTGATGAGCCAGCCTTGGCAGGTCTTCCTCCGAGTGCTGTGGGCCGCGAGGAGCTGGTGGAGAGGGGAGCCCGGGGTGCCTGCCTGGCCGCTGCGGTTCCTCAGCAAGGGGAGATGGCTGCTGCGGGGTCTCCGAGCAGCCGGAGCGGAGAGGGAACAGGCGGGGAGCGCGTAAGGCATGGTGCCAGCCTCACTGAGAGCTGCCTGTGCCGCCGAGGTCAGGAGGGGGCCCGGGTGGGCCAGCACTGGCCCCTCAGTAATCCTCCACCCAGCCGTTCTCAGAGATGAAGGCGTCGATCACCTCCTTCATGGCAAGGTTGGGGATCAGCTGGTCCTGGGTCAGGGGACTCCGCGTCACCGGATCAAAGTGACCCACACGCTGCAAGGGAGGAGACAGCCACAAACCGGTTACTCCACGTGCCTGGCCTCAGCCCCGGGGTGCAGGCAGCCGGTACAGCAGCCAGGCATCCGTGGGCTGGTCAGGGGGAGGAAAGAAGGGGGGCAGAGGGAAAGCTTCCTCCGAAAGGTGCCTCTGGCAAGCTGAGAATGGGTCAAGGCACAAGATCCCTTCCAACAGCCGCCTCCGTTTCAGACGGGCCCTGGCAGGGCCTGCTGCCTTCCTGCCCGCCCCGCCACCTCCGTAGGGATCCGCCCGGGCAGGTAACTGGGACCAAACCCAAGGAGGCTTTGGAGCCCTTAGTTGTGCCGCCCTCACGCCCAGGAAGGGCAGGCAGAGGAGGACTGCAGGTAAGGTCCTGGGAAGCCCCCGGCCTGGTGGTACCTGGAGATGCTCCTCAATGTCCTTTCTGTCGTAGGTGATCCCGCTGGGCGTGATGCAGGGCTCTCTCATCAGCTCAAAACTGATCTTCCCGCACAGGTAGTCAGGGATATCCCGCTTCTGGTTCGAGAGATGCAGAGCTGGGTCAGGAGGGGCTGGGCGAGCCCAGGATCAAAAAAAACATAGGGCTGGGAGGTGGCATTGGCTCAGAGGGGGAAGCAGGGAAGACCCAAGAGATGGTCGGACGGATTAAAGCAGGTTTAGGGTGAACAGCTCTGAACGGGGAGAGGTGGGAGTGCAGGCTGGGGCACACTCACCTTCCTCTTCTCATCCACTTGAGAGAAGAGCTCGTCCATGTCTGCCAGGTATTTGTCCTGAAAACAAAGGCCTTGAGCACGAGGGGACCCTGGTGTGCGGGGTCCCCAGTGAGCCAGCCCTGAAACCTCCCATGATGTGTGCTGTGGCAGGCAAAGAGAAGGTGGCAGGTCCTTGGTGACCCCTCCACCTTCGCAGCCCCCAGACGGGGCTCCAGGCTGAACCACGTGGCAGGAGTGATCCAGCTTAAAAATAACCTCCCTTTGTGGGGCTATTTTTATCCCAGGATTAGTCCCCTGCGCAGGGCAAGCACCCAGACCCACACTCTCGGAGAACAGCAGGTACAGCAGCTGGGGGGACAAAGAGGGTGCTGGGCTGGGACAAGAGGTGACAGAGCAGGGGCAGCCGTCACAGGAGGCCACGAAAGCCCGTCAGCTGAGCCACAAGACCAAGGTTGGGGAGCTGCACTCTGCCCCGGCCCCTCCTGGCTTTCACCTGCATGGCCACAGCCCCATGGCTTCCTCAGCCTCAGCAGAGCTGGGAGGGCGAGGATGGGACCCTGGATCGTCTCCCAGCCCTGTGCCCCTCCCACTCACGTGTTTGGCCTCGATGCTGGCCAGCTGAACTCGGCTCCGGCTTTCATCCGCGTTTTCTTCTTGCTGAGTCTTTCGGCACTCAGCCAGCTCCCTAGGACAGAGCGAGGAGAGGAGAAGTGGTGAAGGGACCCTCTCACCTGCTGCCTGCGCTGTCAGGCTCTGCCTGCAGCTCCAGGAAGGCAGAAGCACCACACATATGGGGCTGCGACAGCTTTGTGGCACCTAAAAACAGTCACTGCCACCCCCCTGCGCTACCTCTCCTTCTCCGCCATGATCAGCTTGGTCAGGTAGGAATGCAGCTCGTTCTCCTGGTTGATCCGCTTCTCCTCGATGCTGTTCCAACGTTTCTTCTTGGCGATGCGCAGCGCGCTGGGGATGTCATCCCCAAAATTCAGCCGCTGCTCCTTGGCGAGGTTGTAGGCTGGGGAGCGAGAGCGCAACTCAGGGCCAGCACTGGCTTCCATCTCCTCGTGCCTGACCCTTTCCTGGTGGATGGGCAAGCTGGGGGACCACTCACCTCTCTGCAGGTTGGCAATGGCCTCATCGTAATTCTCCATCTCCATCTGGCACTGGCCCAGGAAGAAGTGGGCCTTCACGGACTGGCCGTCCAGCTCCAGGGCGCGCTTGCAGTCCGCCAGCGCCTTGTCGTGCTGCTGCATCTTCAGGTAGCAGAGGGCTCGGTTGGTGTAGTAGACGGCTACCAAGGGGTTGCGGTTCTGCAAGGCGAGACCTGTGCTGCGGCTGGTGACAGCAACCGCCCGCTCCCTGACACGGTGACAACAGGGTGACTCGGTGAGCCAGCTGTGCAGTGCTGGCACCCTGGCGAGGGCCGCAGGAGCCAGCTCGGGCTCGCGCCCCATGGGGAGGCACTTTTTTACAAGGTGGTGTCAGGCCCCGGGGGCAGCCTGTGTCCCTGCCTTGCGGGTGACAAGCCCCATGACACCATGCCTTCTGCCCAAGGAGGGTCTGCCCTACCAGGGTACAGCCTGGGGCTGGGAGGGGACGCACACACAGGCCCAGCCGGGGACACTTTGGGGGGCTGTGAATACAGGAGGGAGCCAGCTTGGGGCCTGGTAGGGGGCAGGCCTCACATGGGGTGTGCAAGCTCAGGGAGGGGTCCAGGGAGTGAAGGGGAGTCCGGGCACAGGGATGGGGGGGTCCTGTCCTGAAGGGTGTTCAGGCCAGTCCCGGGGTAGCGTTTCAGATCCGGGCATGTCCCATCCCGGGGGTGTCCAGGCCAGGCCCACAGGCAGGTGTGCAGGCCAGGGGGGGGTCCCGTCCGGTGGTGTCAAGGCCAGGCCCAGGGGAAGGGGATCCC